TWTAAAACAGACTAATTAGATCTAAAAGGTAAAATCTTTATTGGTCAGACTTGGCACAACACTTGCAAAAGAAGAGATTAAGTCTCACCTCTCTTGAAGTGCTCTCATTATTTAATTTGGAAGAGATAAATCCTCTGCTATCAGGAAGAGGTGTTATCTCTGACTGAAGGGTTACAGAAAGCTTCCTCTCCAAGTAGGTTATTTTGGTAACCCCACACCAAGGGTAGTTTACTACTGAGCTGCCTGTGCCCAGTCAGCTCTTGCTATAGAGCTTGAGGCACAATGTCAGGCCAGATGGGCCCCCAGCCTCACTGCACCATTGCTACACAACTCTGTGTTGGTCAGAACAGACTTTTCAGCAAAATGATCCATGTGCAAAAGTCAGTACATGGAGATGAAGGGCTTGTAYTCCTTCTGGGAAAGCCCTGCACATCCCTGAGCTTTAGTTCCCCAAGCTGACAAAAGGGATAATGACATCTAAARAGTGATTACATATACACTGTAATTACATATATATATGTTTKTGTGCATATGTGAAAGAAAAAAARTATAATTGGGATCATTGCTATACAGTCATAGTAACATAAGAAAGTAGTTTTTCCTTGGGAATTTTGGGTTGTGTTCTGACAAAGAAGTCAGAACAAAGTACTCACACTTGCCAGACTACTGCTTTTGCAGTTGCTCACAACACCTGAATTATGTGCTTGTCCTGTGTGGCTGTACCCTGGGGGCACTCCTTTCTTCCTACCAGAGGAGAGAGATGTTCCTAGAAGTAGGTGCCTCRTGCTGTTCAGTCACATATAATGTACAAAGGTAGCATCAAAAACTGTATTGAGCAGGTCATGAGATAAGGTACTGCAGGACTGAGTATTCATTGCCTTGTGGGGTGCCAGCAGCTGAACTAATTCTTACTGAAATGGGTTCAGATGGCAACATCTTTAAATGATCTTTCACCTCAGAACTGAGCAGCAGGGAGTCTCTGTGCTCAGACATGCTGAAGGGTGCTCGTTCTGTGCAGGGCTCCCATGCAAGTACAGCTGAGGTATTTCTAAGTTAATTAAATTTATTTGGAGCATGCAGAGATTACTTTGGATTTTGGAAACAACAAAAAAAAAAAGGCACTCTCCTACGATTGTAACTCTTCAGTGCTTTATCTCTTCAGCCACTAATACCAAAGGGCTCTTGGGTATCTATGGAAAATTGTGAGATGGCAACCTGTCATGGTGCATTACTGGTTACATGCATGTTGCTAGAACATCCTGAGACTTGTGGGAACAATGGAACATTTAGGGCCACCAAGCAAATCTCAGCCTGTTCACTCAATTGTTTCTATTGATTAGGTACAACACATGCCCAAGCAGCACTTGCAAAAGGAYTTAGGCTGCCTCTGGTAACAGAAGCACTTAGCAGGAGAGTTGAGCAAAAGTTGGAATGAGGTTTTATTCCTTAGTTTGCTTTTCCTTTTTACCCCTTTAGAAATCTACTTAAAGCTAAACAAGAATTCACCTTCAGAACCCCCCAGCTCCTCTCAGCACACCTGCATCTTGCTCTCACTGCAAAGTAAAACTAACTGAATGACTTCCTGTCACTCTTGGTAGGATATAAAAATACACTTCATGCAGCAGTTTCTGGATGGCACAGCCAAGTTCAGGACCACATTGTGCTCAKTACTATTTGCCAAACAAATAGGAATTGAGATGCTGTTCCCCACAGGGCCTGCCGTATACATAGACAAAGTCAAAGGGGTTGAGGCAGTATTATCTCAGGCTTACAGCTGGGGGACTCCAATCCACAGGGATTATTGTAGCTTGCCTAAGGTCACACACAGGAATCTGTGGCAGAGCTGGGAAATTAAATAAGAGCTTCCCAGGCATGGGCAAATACATCAGGCACAGGATAGTATCTAAAATGGAATGTTTCAACCCACAACTGTACAGGTTTCTGAAAGCTTCCAGGCCTGCTCAGCAACTGCAGGAATGGCATCATTTGTGCATCAGTTACACTGACATTACTGTGTCCTTTCTGAAAGGAATGGAATGCTGGGTGCCTTATGAGATTCCCTATCACATGCTGTGAATTCCTAGAAAACCTGCTTCCCACTGCAGTACGTGGCTGCTGCATGTACTGCTGCCCTCTCGTGTGAGCCTGCTGGGAACTGCAGCGTTGTCACAGTCAAGCGGACACAATTATCTGGTGCCTGCCTACCTTCCTTTCACACCAGCCCTACAGCTGATGGACATTGTTGCCTTTCTCATTTGCGGTGTCGCTGTCTCCTCCACGCTCACTTTGTACGTGACACAAACGACATGATAATGGAGAATCCAGGTCATAGTCTTGGCAGCCAGTGCTGCAGATCTGCCAGGTCAAGGGAACACTTAAGACAACTTTATAGCAATAAAGTGTAGTCAAAGGTCAGGTGGCACTCTGGGGTTTCTCTTCAGTGTGCCAGGACGGCCACTTCCACCTCATCGATCAAAGTTCACCTCAGGCTGATTGGGACTGCTGAGGCCAAATCATCTTTTCTGGGCATATAACATTTCATGAGCAGCAGTTTGATACACRCGATAAAAGTTGTGACAGGTAGTAATTTAGGAGAAGCTCCACAGGCAACCACAAAGAAATTCCAGKTATTTCCCACTTAAAGGCTAGTCTGAATTTTATTTTAGCAATAGTTCCTGATAGCACTTCTGTGATACCGTGTCAGTGGCTCCAAAGCTGGGTGATTCACTTTCCTTCACACAGGCAGTGGAAGGGATTTCAGGGCAAATAGAAGTCAGGTTAAAGGTGTTTTACTTGTTGTACATATCACTTCCCTCCTTCCTCCACCCTCCTTTTTTTTTGTTGTTTTTATTTCTCTTTTAACCAGAAGCCCTCCTTTTTTAAAATAGTAGGCAGGTAATTATTGGCACTCATTTGTGTTGCATGGGATAAGGTGGATTTTTTAAGTTCACTTTCAAGAAGCCCAGCTGGAGCTCTTCTGAGTATCWTTTCTTCAAACTTTTGCTCATTAAAAATAAATCATAGAAAACTTTTCTTCCCTACAACTTGACCCTGGATTGAATATTAGCACTTTAATGTTGCGTTTTCTTACTAAGTCTTCCAATTACCAGCTGCCTTCCTCCTTTTGCAGAGGGGTAGGACAAGACAAAGCATGKGGATGAAACAGTAAGCACAGTCTGGTGCAGTGATATTTCACCTCTATCAGCTTCCAGATGCCTGAACAGAAGTGTGATGGTACTGTGATGACACTCTCTCACTCTGCCAGAGATGGCAGACATCCCTGTAGCCTTTCAGCAGACAGGGATTCAGATCCAAAAAGCCTCTAGAAATCAAACTTCATGTTGCATGGGGGAGAAACTGCAGGGCTGTCTGTGGCAGCAAGGAGGTGTCCTGCCTGGGGGAGGCACACACATATGCATCAGAAGTGGCATGAGGACACTGGCAGTGCCTGAGTTGATCAGACAAGTGGTGGGGTTGCGCAGTGAAGTTTATCATCTCTATTTGCACTAGCATATGCCAAAAAGGCTCCTTTCCAGTCAGCCCCTGGACAGCACACAGAACTCACTGCAAAGGTGGAAAAAATGTAYACAGCATACCTACCTGGAAAAAGGGAACAGAACAGATGAGCTGAGATTGTCTCCATCCAGTATTTCTGGAGAAAGTTAATGATGAAGCAGTGGCTGACCCAGAAAATACTCATTAACACTAGCTACAATATCAAAGGTAGCAAATATATCRTTTTCAAGCAAGGCAATAATGGGGACCATTGCTCATTGTGCCCTATTTCAGACACTAGACATCTTAGTTGAAACAATCATTAAAAGYTTGGATTATAAAGGAATACTACCTAGTTGACACAGATGTGACAGGCAGAAAAATTCGGTGTGGCTTCTGAATGAAATGGATCATTGATCTGGTCTGGTTTTGCAACTCATTAGTGGTCCAGTTACACTGAGCTAGTTAGTGCTGCAGCAGCCACATACAAATACACCACTTTGTTCCTTAAACGCAAAGCCAAAGATCAGAACCATCAGCTGTACCCCTGGCTGTGCAGAGCACACTGGGAAACATTAGTTACCACAAAACCCACCCAGCTGACTGGCACAGGGGCAAGAGAGGGCACCTTGCCGGAGCAGAGGGCCTCCACAACTTCCACAGCCCTGATAACAACAGTGCCACATGCTAGGGCTTCAGTAGAGTTCATGACTTATTGCCAGTCAACAGTGCCACTTACTGTTAGCTCATTTCTCCTCACATCTAATGAGATTAGGCTCCAGTTAGCTTAGGAAAATCCATTTGTWGGGATATTATACTGAGGACTGCATTTGGATGGTTTAAATCCAAACAAGTCTCCAGCAGTAGCAAGTTCCCAGCCTTGATTAGCTCAAATGATCTCAAGCAATCTTCACAGCCTCTCTGGTCCTCAGCACAGTAACCACACCTGAATCTGGCCTAAAGACCTTCTGTTCCCTGTTCAAAGATTAATTTCTTTCTGCTCCCTGAAGCATCAGGGCACTCTGCATTTGTTGTGGGAAGAATCTTTACATTCAATTCCTCTCCCTGATCACCTCCAAGTGAACCTCTGCCTTTGCTTCAAGTTACACTTCCCCCAAGTTGCTGACCAATGCTGTCTTTTCAGGGTTCCTCTTAATCTTAGGAACAGTTCTCAGCTGAAAASAAGTTCCTCTGCTCTCTTGCAGTGCCTGGGGTTTATCCAATAGAGATTACAGCACACTTACAGTAAAGGACCTCTCTTGTCTGCCATAGAGGCCCCACATCAACCTGCTATATGTCCCACACCCTATGGAAATTGCCATTTATGAGAGTTCCTGTGTCCTAACGCTCCCAGGGCCATTTCTGGGATTGTTTGAGCTGGACACACCAACTTTGGCTTTAGCCCTGCTTTCAGGCCCCACTGGTCTCTGACAGAGTCCCAGCAGCTCTATCGTGAGACATGCGTGACATGAATAGTGCAATTCCAGCAAACCAGGAACTGTAAAGACCCAAAGTTTCAGAGGGGAATTTATTGTATGGGAGCATATCCAATATTTTTTTTTGTCAACCATTCATGAGAATAATAAAAAATAGAAGCTTTTTAAATGACAAAAAATATAGTTACACATAATACAGATTTTCATCTTGCATTGAAGCAGAGCAGTAATAAAATGCTCACTTGTGTTTTCACGGTTATTTTGCATTGCTTCTCTAGGTTAAAACATCAGCAACTCAAATGTTCCAGTCAGAACCCCTAGTTAGCAGTTTCATGGGGTGATGGTGAGGGTGAATGCTCTCAGCATTCTCATACACTTCACAAGTAGAGGAGACACACTTGATCCATTTCAGAACTAACATTTTCAGAGGTACCCTTGTGGCATCCTTGCTGCAACTGAAAAGTTTTTGTATCAGAACATGTTTTTAGGCCCCAGTCAGAAACACATCTATGGAACACGCAAGAATCTGCTTAAATTCAATCAGGTTCAAAGGACTCCAAGTCGATCCTTTGTGACCCCATTGTTCTGCCCTCACAAGCACGGAAATTGGCATGAAAGCTCTAACCAGTACTCGATCACATGTGTAGAGTGCTTGCAAGACCACAAAGGATTTAACATTCTTCAGCACTCCACTTAGAGACCTGAAGGCATTCACTGCATACATTTAGGTATTTACTACATAACTTACACCCCACCCCCAATATTATTGCAATAATTCTTTGCTGGTATAACAGCTCATACACCAAGTTTCACTTATTTAGTTTTCTATAAACATAGGAAAAAAACACCTGAAGAGAGCTAGAACAGCTTTCAATCACTCACTATATTTGCATTGAAAGCTTTATTTTGAAAACTTTAAGCAGCAATACTGAATAAATAGACAGAATGATTGTTTTGTCATCTCCATACAACTGATGGCCTTCATCCAAAACATTAAAATACTGTAGCAAATAGAATAAACATGCACATATCAATGTTCTTTAGAAAAAAAAAAGGAGGTGTAATATAAAAGTAACACTTTGACACTTCTTTTTAATACAGTACAGACCATTAGAGACTATTTTCTGGAAAAAAATATCTGAATACAGTTTTGTTATTTACATGTATCATTAAGGCCCAATTCACTCAAGTTAATGCACATCAGGAATTTATATGCTTCAAGGTAACTCACTAAAAATTACAAGATTGACTTTTCTTTGCTCATACTCATATGATCCCAGTTCACTAAAATAATGCAATTCTCTTCGCACTAAAAACAAGGCAATTACTGCCCCAAGAGGAGATTTTTATTTCACTAAAGGATCTTTTYCCCTCTTACCTCATATGTTTGCATATTGCTAATACTAGTAGTGGTAGTTCTCTTCTTTAAGAACTTCCTCTCAACTTGCCAGGGTTTATAAAAGCAAGCAATCTCAAAGCTAACATACCATTTCCAGAAGCAATTCAGGCACTTGGGAACCTAAGTCCCACTGAAAGATACTGGGAGGCAGGTTCCTAGCTGACTTTTCAGAGTGGGACTTGGGTTTCTCCCTTGCTCAGGCGTTCAGACTGTTTACCTWAGCCTTAACCTACTGGCTTTTCAGATGGTCACCCCCCTCTTTTCCCCTAACAACATAGCATCTCCAGCAAAAATAAACTGTATCCTCATGGGTGAGAGAGGTAACACAGTTAATTTTCATGAGTAATAAATTACATGAGTTCTCCATATAAATTCCCTGTGCACTGGAAAATAGTGCTTGTGTATTCAACTATTTAACGCAAGCAAAAAACCCCATTTTTATCATGCTGCCCAGTAAATAATATGGCACTTGTTAAAATTAGTATGTGTGTAGCTTCCTTTCTGCTAATGCCCCAGAAGTAGGTTTGGAACCTTCTGAAAATGGACTTTTTRTACAGTTGTAAAGAAAGAGTGAGTCTCTGCAGTTGATCAGAAGCAAAACTCTAAATGCCATAGTGTGAGGAATTTCTCTAACTGTTACACATGGTTCAATTCACATTTAATGCAAGGGCATGCCATTTCTTTTTGGTTTATTTACAGAGAGGGTGAAAATGCTACAGAACTTCAGCCTGGGTGAAATTCAATAAGCAAGAGGAGTATGGTGGGGGCAGGGGAATTTGTCAGTGTCTCACAACTGGCAGGTCTGGATACCAAAGCCTCTCCTTGGCCACAAGAGTGGCTGAAGCTGCAAACGTTTTTCAGATCACCTTGACATGTGCCAAAGCCCTGACAAGGAGGGGCCACTCAGGGGTGCTGCAGTGGTCACTCYGGAGCCAGCTCCACAAACTGCTGCCGCAGTCAGCCCATGCTACTTCTAAACTCAAACGGCAAATTCCTCCCTTGATTCTCTTACAAAGCTGTAACTAAAACCCTCCAAAGCTGCTCTTTTCCTTTTAATCCTTTTCCTCTTCTCTCTAWCTTAAAGAATAACCTGGCAGAGAAAGAGAGGAGGTTTTATGATGCAAGAGCCCAATTAARCTCAAACTGACATCTGTGGTAGATGGACCAGTCACAGAATATGACAAAAACATTAGCTGGGGTAAATATGCTGATCTACCTTAAAAATACTTCATCTCAGGACAAGGCTGTTTCCCCCCACCCCCATGCAGCATAATTTGGGCCAGACTTTGCAAGGTGCTGAGTGCCTCAGTTCTCTAATATCAAGAGGTGCTGAAGATGCAAGATATCCACTGGAGAGGGCCATTTCATTTCTGTAAGTTGAACCCAGAATGTAAGGCATAAATGCTCAAGTACCTTGGACAGATATTGTCCCCAAACTATGTATATTTTACACTTTGTTTTAAATATATATATATATATACATACACATTCTTTCTTTTTTTCTTTTTTTTTAATACAAAGTTATGGGCACAGTAAACATGAGCACAGAATTGTGATAAACTAACAGTAAAATGGGTGAGCACTGCAAAGGTTCCTCAGGTAGGAATATCTCATTTTCCAGTTTGCTCACAAGGGAAGATGAAAAAAAAAATCCTGATAAGTTAAACTGTAAAAAATCAGAGTCCATTTGGAAAGGTCCTTTATATATTCACAGCCTTATCTGTTGCTGTTAGTCTAAATACAGCAGCATTTTTAGAATATATGATGCCATTAATAAGTGGAAAGAAAAAAAAAAGCATTAAACACTCAAGAATCCTTCATTTGCTATCTTTTACAACTTCCATTTGTCAGGAAGCTTCTTTTTTAAAAAAGGAGACTTAAATTAACATTTATCTGCACATCAGTGAATCAACACAAGAGGATGCTAGGAGTTAAGTATTTTTCTATGGCAAAAAGCTTGGAGTTTACCTACCAGTGGTAAAATCCTGACCCTACCAARGACATCAGGAGTTCAGTCGTTTTGCCACTGACTGAGCCCAAGTTTTCAGTACTGCAGTGAGGGCACAGTGTCCCCCTCTCGTGCCCAGGATGGGGATGRTGCTGTGAGTTAGAACAGGAAATCCAAATGCAGCCTGGGAAGGCCCATCCCTTCCCTAACTCATCCATGAGGCAACCCCCAACATTTACAGTGCCCCACTGATGCAAATCCCTTTCTCCACAGCCTCGGTGTCCCCTGCAGCAATCTCACTTCAAGGCCTGGAACCAAGGAGCTATTTGGGAGCGGCTACTTTCTGCAGGGAAGCCTTTTTGCCYAATTCTTTTTTTAGCTTTGATTGCATTAGAGCAACATCAAGATATGATAATGTTCTCTTTTCACATGTTTAGTGAAAAATGACAACCAATTGTGTGAATTTTCTGTTTGGAAGCTTTACATTCTGTAAGCGACTGTCTTTCAAAGGGGCCAAATATCTCCACCAGGGACCTGAACAAAATCCTGGCCTCACTCTTATCAATGAGAACTCTGCAACTGACTTTATGTGACTCTGCCAGGTTTCTTCCCTTCACAAAACTTGAGTGGATTCTGGAAGGCTGGAAGAGGATACTCATTTGTGTTGTGTTTTTATTCCCCTCCAACAGCAAGATTTGTTACAAAGCAAGAACACTGTAATGGCTAGTGGAAAAAATAAAGTACAAAATCACACACAGTGAAAGCCTCCAACTCTCATTTGGTAAGATATATGAAGACAACTTCTTACATTGTTCTTTCTCAAAAGGCATATACAATGTGGCAAAATATTTCAAATATACATTCTATATAATAAAATATCATCTAACTAGTGCATCCTCAATCATATGCTGGAAGTATTTTTACCAAGCCAAGGTTTAAAATCCATAAATCTTCTGAACACTAGGTGCTTCATTCAAGGCAGATTCAACAGCAAGTAAATCCCACAAGCTCACTTTTCAAGCCTTAAAAGGTAGCAATGGATGGAACATGASATATGATGACCCACAACAGAAATGAACAAAGTTAGTGGTGAGAAACCATGGCAATGGTTCAGCACCCCTCAGAACTCTGCATTGCAGGTTGCTGTACTTGATCAAATGGGGGGGGATGTTTGTACACACAAAGTCACCTTGTCAGACTGACACACAGCCATACGTGATAATTCACAAGTTAAAAATAAAAATATAAAAGGTCAACATTCACAGGTCCATTGATTAAAGGGAATAAATTAAACCTCAGGTAAGCTGCATACACGGTTTCCTTCACCCTCAGTCTCCCATTTATGCCTATGCAAGGAACATACTTTCTCAAACACTTCTGAAGTGGCAAAAACAATGAAGTTTTTTCACTCAAGCTGTGTTGACAGCAAGGTCATCCTTGCCAATTATGAATCGAGACAGTTCCCGTCTCTTCAGCATCAGTGCACAGGGTATGGCTCCAAGTGGTGTTGGAGGAAGAAGAAAAAATAATACCGTGGTGTAACAAAAAAAAACAAAACAAGAAAAACTTCCATTCATCATTGGCAGAATAAAATAAAGTGTATCTTGTCCAGGGTACCTTGCTAGGTCCACTCTASAAGAGGTATGTACTGTCATACATAAATGCCCTCCGGGTTAAAACCAGATGACAGGGGATTCTGTAGGATCCGAAGGTTACTGGGGAGTTGCCTCGAGGAGCCAGGACGCTTCAGCGACCCAGACTGAAAGGTTGGCTCTGCATGAGAAAAAGGGCAATTAGAAAAGTCATCAGCAGAGGTGACATCCATAAAACACTCTCCTTCTCCTGCTTAGCATGATACAGAAAAACTCGTGCCACATATAACAAACAGCTGAAGTGCCTGGCTAGGAAATGAGATCTAAGGTGCACACTTCCTACTCATTTCAAAATTGATCAAAACCCACGAAAAATAATTACCCTCCCGTAAGAAACATGTACACAGATACACATTTATATAGTGATGTGCAAAAAGAACTTGAACCTGTAACATAAATCAAAGCTTCAGCTTCCTGCCCACTTAAAAGAGCTCTTACAAATGCTGCATTTTAAGCAGTTGTCTTTTCTGGTTGTCTTTTCTCCTCTCTCCACCCCCTTGCCCTCCCTTTTGGTGCCTTTTGGTTAGAAAGTTTTCTGAGCAGAGGGACAAACCCAGCACTGGAGAATGCTGAGACAAAGAGCCCCCTTGGAAGCAGAGTGCTGGATAAAACACACAACTGTGCTGGTGCCACAGCTCTGACATGCATTCACAACGTTCCAGTATTTCTGCCCAGGAAATTCTGAATCCAGATGTGGACACGTGCAGGCTGCATTGAAGTCACTGAGGTCAAAGTCAATTTGCACCCTCCGTAACAGCCATCTGTGCAGGATGTCTGCATGGCTGGCAGCCCAGCTGGATTAGCTCCTGTTCCCCTGCGTCTTCTGTCTGGCATTTCTTGAGATCCAGACACATTCCGTTTTCTGCTTTGACAAAAACCCCACCAGAAGAGGAAGAACCCACACGAACAGCAATGTCAGATGTATGATCACAATCTGTGCCAGTGCTACAGCCTGCAGCCACGGTAGCCACTCTTGAAAGCTGTAGGCTTAATGGGCTGCTAATGGGACAAACGCATGCCCAGGCATAGTGGGAGAGAAGTTCACCACATACTGCTCTTTATTTAGAGCCTGCTAAAACTTGGGAGTGAAAATAAGTACTCGACAATTTGCTCCCTTAGTGTTTTGCTAATATCTTCCCTAAGGGAGCATTCACTTCACCAAGAGTGCCAGCATTAAGGGCAGTAAAGGCACTGTCAGCCACCCCTCCCTCCCTCCCTCCCTCCCTCCCTCAGCATTCCGAGGGCTGCACCTCTCTCGAGCTCCACATGTGGGGCCTCCACCTCCACGGGGTCTGCCGGCAGCACCGTCACCTTGGTTCCCGTTTGCTGTATGAACTGCTGCAGGTTCACCTGGCGCAGCTCCTTGGTCAGTTGCTCCAGTTCTTGTTCCCTGTCCTGCCAGGAAAGAAAAAAAAACATCTGCTGAGCACATAAAGCAGCATTTCATGACCATATTTCCAACTGGGCAACTAATGCTTCTCCTTTTGATGAGAAAGCCTCCAATTTTTAGAGCTCAAATACGAATTGGAGAATTAAAAGGTATTTCCATCTTGTAATTTAAAAAGCGCTTACTAAAATCAAAGAATCAATTAGGTTGGAAAAGACCTCTGAGATTATTGAGTCCAACCCATGACCCAAATCGGGTTTCTTCTAATGTATTTTATTTTTATATTGCCTCTTGGATGACTAGCAAATGTTTCTCATATCACCTGAGAAAAACTTTGGCACATCAGATATAAGCAAATAAAGGTAATAATCTGAATACTGAAAAAATAATTGACTGAGCAGCTGTCTGATACCAAGTCTTAATTCTGTCTGAAGTGTCCAGCATGGCTTGGGCACCTCATTTAGTTCCTCTGATCTTAAAAGGAGTATAAATCCTYTCTCATTCTTTGTGTTTTCTAGTCAAGCATTTTTGGAAAGAACTTTCTCACTCTGCAAGTGTTTTGTACAATGAGGCCAAAGCCTGGCTGATTCACCACCCCTTTAAAGCACAGATGATGATTTAGAATCTTTCTCTGTACTTCTCTGATGATACACTAAACTTACATCTCTGATAGATTACAGCAGTCTTGGACTACTATTATTCCCACACACAGAGCTTGAGCTGCTTTAGCAGACATCTTTAACTTTATGCATGCAATAAAATATTTCTCTATTTCCTCCCTGCCAAAGCTCCATACTACAGAGGTCAGTTTATTTTCTTGTGGACTTCCGGATTTATGCAACTTTAGGTTTAGAACAAAATTGGAAGATCTGAATTTAATGGAAGCTTTCCCAAGAAAGTGAAACCTAGCCTATTAAAAGAACCATGCCAGAAATACTTTCAACTCCATTGTAGCCTAAATAAATATTACTAAGGATAGATAAAACACATAAAGAGGACTTAAGCTTTCCATCAGTACAAATCCTTAAGCGTAGCATGTCTGGAAACTTAGCACAGATAAACATGGCCAAAACTGCTTACAGTTTTCATCCATTTTGCTTTGGATGAAAAGATACTTCCCCCCCTCACCACCCCCCATCATTTAGTAAAACAGCTCATACTGACATGGTTCTAGGGTAGGAATAAAGATACAAAATCCCTTTAAATATTCACAGTGGAATCACCTTAATGCCACTGCAGCACTGCAGAATATACTATGAATCCTGGGAATCAGCAAGAACCACAACTCAACTGATGTGTGGTGCCTTAGGACTATCTAACATGTCACACAAAAATCCCAGAAGCCCAAATCTTTCCTCCACCTCATCCAGATGGCTCCTGGAGTCCCATTTATTCTTTCATGTTCTATCAAGTTCCAGGTGATATAATTAACTTTAGTAAGGAAACAGGGACTGGACTCTCTTTTGACACATGTGCCACAAATGCCTGAAGTGTAGAGAAAATAAAATCCTGAGCATCAGCAAGTCAGCCAGGAAAAGAGATCCTGTTCTTTAAAACAAAAACTCTGTAAGATAGCAGCTACATTACTTTAGCTCTACATCTATCTATCTATCTATCTATCTATCTATCTATCTATCTATCTATCTGCTGCTTTTGGACTCTTTAATTAATCTCTTTCGGTGGCAGACAAATCTAGAAAGGATCAGAAGTTTATCCTCAGAAAAGGCTATGATGGTGCAAATTACTGCTTTTCTTCTCAGACAGTTTGAGTGTGCAAGTTAAACACCGTTTAAATGAAAACTGTCTGCTCTTCAAAAAAAAATTAAGTCCAAACTGAAATGTAATTTGAAAATGAAAGCAACACATTCCCCTTTTTCCCCCAATTCACTTTGAGCACTTGTGTTTTCTTTCATSGGCTTCAGATTTGTGTGAGAGAAATTAGTCACAGTTTTTGACTTTCCCTAGCTACAGATAAAAAGACAGTCTTACCTGTAATCGCTTGGTAGCTTGGCCCAAAGACCTTTCTACAGCTTTAATGCCATTTTCCAATCTCAGACTCTGCTGGCCCTGAATATCAATTTCTCCTTTCACCTTCTCGATCTTTTCCTTGACCTCTTCTTCGTTCACTTGGGACTCCTGAACTTCCCGCTGCAGCTTCTCTGCTTCGAGGCCACTCTCCATGTTGTGGATCTGAGACACGTAGTCCTTGAGCTTGCTCTCGCACTCCAGGATCCTCTGCCTCATCTCCTGCAGCTGCTCCGTCAGCTGCTTTTCATTCTCCTGTTCGATCTGCAGCTCGTTTTCCCAGAACTCTTCCTCCTCAATCTCCACTTCGTTCCGTTTGATCTTCTGCTCCAGTTTGAGGATTTCTTCTTCCAGGCTGGCGTTGTACTTTTGCTCCCAGTAGCGGATCTCAGCTTCGTTGGACTCCAGCTGCTTCTCGATGCACTGAAGCTTCTCCGTTTGAAGGTGGATCAGTTTCTTCAACTCATCCGCTGTTGTTTTACAGTTGTTGAGCACCTTTTGCTTGAACTCGGATTCCTTGCTCTTCCCGAAGATGTCCATTAAGCCCTTGGCGCCGCCGGTGAAGGTGAGCGATTTCCTTTTGGGCTCCCTCCTCTTCATGGCCTTGTCCCCGGGCGGCCTGAGCTTGGCCAGGGGCGGCAAGCTCTGCCGGTACAGAGTCCTCTCGGGGATGCGCGCCACGCTGTCCGACGTGGGCCGCTCGCTCAGGGAGGGCCCGGTGCGCCGCAGGATCAGCTGCACGTCGCTGGCGTACTGTCCCCACTTGTTGAGGGACACGATGGGGTTCTCGTGCGGCGCCAGGTGCCGCTCCGTGTCCCGCCACTTCTCGATCAGCGTGTAGCGCCCGGTGCGCCCTGCAAGGGAGCACAGCGTCAGCGGGGCCGCGGGGGGGCGCCGCCGCTCCGCCCGTGAGGGACAGCGGGAAAGGCGGCGGGCCGAGCCCGGGACACGGCGGGACAGCACCGGCACAGCACCGGGACCGGGACAGGACCCTCCTGCCCAGCCCCGCGCCCCTGCCCGTCCAGCCCCGCGCCCCTGCCCGTCCCCCACGCCCTGTTTCAGCACCCCTGCCCCTGTCGCAGCGCCTCATTCACCGTACCCGCACATCACCGAGTTCCTTTCTAAACCCTCCCCGCGCAGGGCGGGAACGGCAGCAGCGGGGAAGGATCGACACCGTGAGAACCGGCGGAATTGCACAAGCCCGGGGCTGCCGGCAGATTCACGCAACTCATGGGATCGCAGAATGGTTTGGGTTGGARARRAYCCTAAAGATCATCCAGTTCCAGCCCCTTGCCATGACCACAGGCAGGGACACYTTCCACTATCCCAGGTTGCTCAGAGCCCCATCCAGCCTGGCCTSGRACACTKCCAGGGATGGGGCAGCCACAGCTTCTCTGGGCAGCCTGTGCCAGGGCCTCACCACCCTCACAGGGAACAATAAAGCAAGTGACCCAATAACCACCACATAAATACACCCAATGCAAACCTCTAGACCACGAAAACAAGAACAGGAGGAGTCCCAGGTCTTCCATACAGCCATGTAGGAAAACCAAATTTGGAGGCACTGTGAGTGCTGTTAAACTGTTCCATCAATCAGAGGCAGCTGTTAATGACTGACAGAGCCTCAGTTCCCCAGGTCACGCCCCCCAGTTCACTCAGACACTGAGCCAGTCCAGGCCACAGCCTGATCTGATACCCACGGCAGCACTGCTGATGTGACAAACCTTCACTGAGGAGAGCACAGGGACAAGAGCAGCAGAGGCTGTTTGCGAATTGCAAACGAACAATTGGGTTCCCTGCACAAACTCCACGCCTGTAACAGAGGCTTTCCCACTGGGGTAACCCAGCCTTCAGCAAAAAGCTCGAGTTCTTTCATAAGTGTTTAGAGTTTTTCTGAGTGTTCTGTCGACAGTACAACATACGTTCACGGCTTCATTTGTGCCATTAAGCATACCTAAATTCAGCTTAGGAGTCTTCCTTCTCCAGCACCCATTATAGAATATTTTTCTAAGCACTCTCAATACTCTGCTATATGGCATTTTCCCATTTCAGAAGAGTCTCCCCTATCAAAGTAACTTCATTTAAATGCCACAACATTATTTACAAAAAGATGTGAAAGATCAACTGCTTTTAAAGCAGTTGATGCTAATGAATTTCTGAACAGCTCCATAATTGCCATTAACCTTAAAAACATCATTAACTACTTTAATGCATTACCTACATTCATTTTCATGAATGAGAAATTATCATTAAAATTATTTATTTCAGCACAAAAGCCTGAAATAACTGTCATATATGCAGCTACAGAGTGAAGGAGTTGGAAGAAATGTAGTTATCAGTGGTAAASCATTTCATGTGTCCTCCTTCCTCATACTACCTGCCCAATCATAACATATTTTCCAAAAGAACAAAAATATCCTAATCTCAGGCTGGAAATCTGCCCCTGACCTGCAGTCACAACACTCTCATGGACTCTTCACTTCAGATTTGTAGGAAACAAGCTGCASTGTGGTGATTAACACACTGTGCACCCCACCAAAATCAGTGCCTTCTAAAGAACTTCCCAAGATAGAACTACTGTGTTGGAAATGGTTCCTCTGCTCTCATTTTCTCAAAATTAGCTCACAGTGCAAAGAATGAGAACAAAAATCATCTGCAGAGGCACTGCCTGGAGAACAGGCAGCTTTGGTTCGTGGCTAATTCYGGAGGGATTGGCTGGCCCAGTCAGAGACCAAAATGTCCATGTTCACTTCCAAGTTAAGAGTGAGGGCTGAAAGATTTGACYGATGGAAGTCAGCAAAACAAGGCAGACAGCATGAGAACAGCAATCCACCACAACAAATGCCTTGCAAATAAATTACTATGTAGGCACTGGGAAAAAAAAAATGAAAAAAGGGTGSTTTTGGGTTTTTTTTTTCTATCAGCAAACTAACATGCTTGGCCAACACTCTCAAAAAGAGATTTAAGGTTTATTGTAATAAAGTACTTCAAAATCAAGTTTATAAAGGTATATGATAYAAAGTGAGAGATTTTTGCTAACTCACAATATTGCTCATTGATCCATGAAGATTTATAGTTTGTAGTAGGCACTGGTGTTGTTACAGGAAAAATAAACATAATACTGTTTGCCATAGCATACTACAAAAAAAAATCCTGGAGAAGAAAAATTAAATAAAACAYACCCCAGGACAAAGGCTGCACTTCACTGCTCTGTTTTGTTAATCTTAAAAGCTTTCAGCTTCTAATCATGGTTGTGCTACTAATGTTCATGTTGTGTCAGAAACAGTCAAGTTCAAAGAAGTCCTGAAATTGCAAACAGGTACCACTAGGGGAGTGAGCAGAGTCCAGTTTCTATTCACTCTGCTATTAAATTCATTACTTAAAAGAAATATAACAGGAGACCAAAAAAAAAAAAGAAGAAAAAAGACAAGGAGGAGAATAAAGCTCTAACAATCTCGACCAAAAGTGAATTAAAGAATTAAGCACAGACTTGCCAAGAACTATTTTCATCTTAGCTYTGGGTTCCAAATCAACACACAGCCCTAAATAATGAACTCAGCACTCAAAATCCACATAAAAGAAAGTGTTTTGTAGAAGTAATACTTGCACAGTTCAACAACCACACCTGGAGCTCAGGATTGGTCTAAAACAAAGYTGTTCTCTTCCGAGATCATTACCCAGGTTTAGTGCTCAGCCTGTGCATGACGCAGATTAACAATACGCAGACAACCACAACTGTGATGTTTGCCTGCATTAGAGGGGATTAATTCACAAATGAAAGGGTGAATGAGTTAATTCAGAACTAATGACAGAGTATTTCAGAACATAGGCGTCCCTGTAGCAAACTGCTGGTTTTGATGTGTAGCCACTGACAGGGAGAAAGTAGCTTCCCTGGGTTGTTGACAAGGAACAGTGCGACGCCTGCATGCTGCTTCTTGCCTTGCGTGTTGTCCACAAGCTTCTGGACACAAAGAGCACCTGGCAGAACTCAGTCCAGCCTCATTCATGCAACCTTATTATTTTGAAAATTAAGTTACAGTTGCATTCAGGTAATGGTCATGTATCAGCAATGCATGGCATTCCTTAAATTACAGTGTGTTTCTCCCTGCTGAATATTATATTGAATCTCACCCAGAATTATGCAGTATCTACGGGGAAACTCAGTGAGCAGTTCAGCAGTGAATCCCCTACAACTTCTGGAATAAAACTTTTCTTTAAGTGCAACTAGAACATATTCGACTTTTTTTCTTTTTTRATACTTCTACCAAAGCCTTGTATTGATGAGAATGGGAGAGAAAACCATCCAGACAGGCCAAAAAAGCACCAGCAATGCTGCGTTCTAAGGTTTCCTCTTCAAAAAACAGGAATTCAAGGGCTGGAGAAAACACAGAGCCTGTGCACCCTTTTCTACATCCAGCTACTTCATGGGCAGCAGGGGAGGGGGGGATTCTGCCCCTCTGCTCTGCTGAGCTCCCTCTGCAGAGCTGCATCCAGCCCTGGGCCCAGCACAGCAAGGACAGGGAGCTGCTGGAGCCAGTCCAGAGCAGGGACACCGAGGGGATCAGAGGGATGGAGCAGCTCTGCTGGGAGGAAAGGCTGAGAGAGTTGGGATTGTTCACCTGGAGAAGAGAAGGCTTTGGGGTGACCTCACTGTGGCCTTGCAGTGCCTGAGGGGAGTCTCCAGGAAAGAYGGAGAGAGACTCTTGATAAGGGTGACAGGACAATGGGGAATGGCTTCACATTGACAGAGAGCAGGTTTGGATTTGATATGATGAAGAAATCATTCCCTGTGAGGATGGTGAGGCCCGGGCACAGGTTGCCCAGAGAAGCTGTGGCTGCCCCTCGATCCCTGGAAGTGTTCAAGGCCAGGCTGGATGGGGCTCTGAGCAATGCAGGATAGTGCAAGGTGTCCCTGCCCATGGCAGGGGGGTGGAACTGGATGATCTTTAGTGTCCTTTCCAACCCAGGCCATTCTGCGATTCTTTGATTACTACATGGTCCCCAAAATGGGGACCCTACATGTACCATATGATATTACCATCTCAAAACAATCATGGAGAACTTGTATCTGTTTTGCAAGACAGTAAATGACAAGCAAGAACAGAAACAGATACATATTCACATCCCTGAAGCATGCTGCAACTACACAAAGGGCAGTGTCAAAGTTAATGGTTTCCACCTATAAGGTTAAGTTTCCATCTACAGCTCCCTAAGCACACAAACTTATCACAGGTTATTTTCACAGGAACACCTTCAAAAGAATAACTTATGTCAAAATCAAGAGAGATCAAGAAAGGAAATATATGGATTTCAGAATGCTGATGTTCTGACAGCCTGCTAGTAGCTGTCATGAGTGGTTTGAACGTGGCTCTACTACTGTGACATTAAAGGGCAAACTGCACTCAGTGTCCTGGAGCTGSCTGTGCTGCACAGCCAAACACAACCTCTGGACTCAAGTGCCCCTGCCATGTGCCCAACCATGGGCACATAGTCTTAGCTCRGGATTGATGTCCTTTGCTAAATTAAACACAGATTCCATCACAGTGAATGGTGATTAAACTAATGAAATAWAGGTACAAGGTAATTGAACATTTTTTTAGACCCTCAAGAGGCACATTTTAAATTACGCTCCATGAAGGTAGTGGGACACATATAACTATTACTCACTTTAAGCTCCTCTATGTTAAAGCTCCTCCTTTAATATTTGTGGCTGGCACAGTAGACCCGAGCAACTATTTTTGCTGCCAAAAGTGAAAATGAAACTCCAAAGGAAAGGAGCASTAGCAACACTCTTGGCAAGATTGTAACCTGAGAGGTCATCAATTCCCCTTTTCAGGACAGAAATGATTCATCC